CTCCAGCTATAGAAGGACTTCTAGGCTGGTTTTATGTCTTAGCTATTTGACCACTGCAGCAGTAGATGTGCAAGCATTTCTATAGTATGCTGACATATTCTTTCAGGAATATGCCCAGGAATGATGTAACTGAGCCAACTAGTTCTATTTTTGTTGTTTGAGGAAACTCCACAGTTACTTCATGATTCCATAAACTGCTCCAATTTACTTTGTTGCCAACGATGTATAAGGACCTCCAGTCTCCACATCCTTGCTAGAATTGATCTAGTATTTGTGTGTATCTTTAAACAAAATCTCAACCATATTGAAATATTGCAGGAGACCCCTGCACAACCTTTTCCCAGATTCTCAAGCTGCTTGCATTTTGTTTCATTTGCCTCGTTAGGTGATATCTAATCAAAGTAGGAGACATTGTGTTCCTTGTGTTTAAATAACTCCGTGTCTGCTTCATAAGAGAAAAGAAATTATCTTATATAACATAATCAAAATTTAAATATCTTAAAGTTACTGTCTCATCTTAAACACTTACTGTCAAAAACAAAATAAGACAGCCTGGCATTCCTTGTTTTAGCAGATGTTGGTAGGTCAGTGAAAGAACTCAGCATTTGGATCTTTTTTTCTAAAAGAAAAACATGTTTATTTAGTACACTGTCAGTGAACAGCAGACACAGCAATAAGAACCAAAGGGGACATGAGGCCATGAGCAGCAAGGGTCTCCATGTCGGAGAAGTCCTCGCTCGTTGAAATGAGCCACTCTGTATGTGTCCCATGGCTGGATGGATATGTCACTAGCAAGAAAAAGAGGGCAAGTCTGTGACATTGGGTAGCAACTAATTGTGTTGACCTTACCATTCTGATGTCCTGCTAATTTGCCAGAAAGAATGGTGTTGGTGTTTTTGTTTCGTTTAGTTTAGTTCAGGTTTTTTTCAGGTGTGGGGGTGGGGGAGTTGTTCTTTTTGGGACAGGCTTGTACTGAGAACCTGTTTTCTTCCTGGTCTCTGATTAATAACTTTTCACACATGTGAAAATGCTTCCCTTTCTGTTCTGTAAGAAATGTCATTTCTTCTATGTTTCCAGTGACTTTGTTATTGTGCTATGTCTCTCAGGGATGAAAGGTCACTAGAGTCAAAAGACCCTTTTTTTCCCCTTACTCCTCATTACACCCTCCCCCCACCTACCTGATCAAGCAGCTAGCCTCCTGGGGTTAACTGATTACCCAATATAAACATCTATGCTTTGGAAACTCTGCAATGTTTGTCTCTAATTTTCTCCACGACCCAAATAACCGCTCTTACTTTTCCTTGATCATAGCTCATCTATCATGTATATCTTCTGTAGTAAAATTGTGCTTTATCTGTCTTCTCTTTTCCTGTTTGCTCAAACTTACAGTAAAGCTCAAAGTCAAGTGGCTTTTTCTAACCACTCAAGAGGGGTTAGCAAATTCAGGGCTCATTGCTCTGTAAATTTTCAGTTTTCCATGAACACAAAGTACTTACCCAGACCAAGGAATGAACTTCTCAATCCTTACAATCGTGTAAACCTCAGATCCTAATCACAAAGGAATCAAATTCAGAATCTTTCAGAATCAAACTTTTCATTTACTATTTTTTTAGACCTGTCAGAATTTCTCAGTCTGGAAAAGACTTCCTGTCCCACCCTTTTTAAAAATTATTTGTTTGTTGTTTTTTATTACCTCAAAAAAATCCCAGAGATTTAAGTTCAGTGATTGTCTTAAATACCCTTAAATTTTAGATTTATTTTTTAGAGTTTTCTCATGGTTATGTTTGTGGGTTTGTCTATTGATAATGCAGAATTTTGTTATTGTTCATTGCATGCTAACAAGAAATAAGATTCTGAAATATTCTTTTTCTTTTTGTTTGTTATTTTCCATGCTATAAATGGAATTCAGTCCTCTGTGCATGTTAGGTCAGTGCTCTATGATTGAACTATACTCTTAGCCTTGCACTTCTGTCTTTCTTTTATTATAAAATTGAAATTTTAATACAATATATTCTGATTAGGGTTTCCCATTTCTCTCCCCCAACTCCTCCCATATACTCCCCATCTACATACCAGTCAAAACCTACTCTCTTTCTTTCTCACATGTTATTAGGATATAAACAGGCATGGAAGGAGGAGCAGGAGGAGGAGGAAGAGGAGGAGGAGGAGGAGGAGGAAGAGGAGGAGGAGGAGGAAGGAAGGAAGGAAGGAAGGAAGGAAGGAAGGAAGGAAGGAAGGAAAGGAGGAGGAGGAGGGGAAAAGCATCCTTGCTTTTCTGAGACAGGCTTAACATATGAGTCAGCCTGTCTTCCAATTTCCCATGTTCTTGCTTCAGCCTTCTGTGTGTTAGAATGACATGTGCATGCCAACCTGCTGGCATGTGAATTATACTACTTCCAATGCTGTTCAACCACTTTATTGAAAAAGTATAAACCAAGTCTATCTATTTTCTCACCACTCATTTTTCATTTTATGTTGATAACTGTGTTGCTCCACATCACACTTTTTATTACAAATTTGACATATTATTAAAGATTTGTGATACACCACAAATTTATTTAAATCATGTACATTTTATTTTAATTTTTTTTAAAAATTGGATGCGAAAGAACTTTCTGCTGAGTGTCTATGGTACCCTACAACTAGGCATACTTATGCCTAGGTGAAAAGGAAGGATCCACTTACTAGCAAATGGCATGATTCTGACCAGGTGTCTAATATGGGAAGGAGGGCATGTTTGTGTTTTTTTCTGCAGAATGCTGAAGGAGCATGGTAGTTGCCGGAATGATTGGTGAGACGTGCTGTTGCTGAGACAAAGAATGATGCTGACCTGTGAGCTTGGTGAGTGCCCTGACAAGGGTGACTGGGAAGCTGTATTGGACATATGTTTGTGACCTACCTTTGCTTGACTATATCGAATATGGGACAAGCTGCCGTCCCTCAAGATTTTAAACCTTGTGGGACAGAGAATCAAAAAGAGAAGTTATAATGACTCTTGTATTTTTCCTAAAGGTGACAAGTTATTTGGACTCAATTGTGTACTGGTCTAGAAATCAATCCAATATTGGAAGTAACAGTCTTCATTTAGAAGACTGGATTTGAACAGTTTCAGAAACATATCTCGAAGTTAGTTGCTGTTCTCTATGATGCTATAATAGCGAAAGATAACATTGGGACAGGATCTGAATTTCAAACAAGGGTTAGTGCATGTGATAAAGCTCATTTAATTGTCAAGTTAAAATTACTTTTGTGTCTTCTACAGTATTTATTGTAAGTTGCATTGACTGTATACTTTCAAGTTGTATTAGTGTGTTGAAACCTGGCATGTCTGCTATGAGGGTCTGTCAACCAACTTTTATTTTACTGCTCTGAGTATTAGAAACCCTTGATTCTCTGAAAAAAGCTTGAAAGTGCTGGAAGAAGTGAGTTAGGCTTTAAGCAGAAGCAAGAGGGTAGTGGGCTTGATTATTGCTGGTATAACAGTTTTAATTGCATTAATTGCTAGCACCACTGCTTCTGCAATAGCTTTGACACAAGAAGTTATGACAGCTACTTTTGCTAATCATTTAGCAAAAAAATATTACTCATGTGTTGAGTATATAAGAGAATTTATATAGGTGTGTAGTACAATGGATTGATGTTCTATATCCTTTTCAAGTTATCAGAAGGAGGTTCAGGTGTATAGAACAATGGATTGATGCTCTATATCCTATTCAAATTATAAGAAGAAGGTTCAGGGTTTAAGAGTTAGAAGCCATCTCAAGTGTCATGACAAATACCATTGAAATAGTGTTACTTCTAAAATGTACAATGATAGTCATTATAATTAGAAAACAGTTTAAAGATACTTGTAGGGTATTTGGCATAATTCTAACACCTCTCTGGATGTTGTAACTTCGCATAGTGAGATTATGAATTTAAAGAATGCTGCTCTGCTGAGCTTTGATGCTACAGATAATGCTGATAAAATTATTCATGGCTTGAGGTCAGTATTTCCATTTGGTCAAACCTCAAGAATGGCATTTATAGTTGATCATGCTAGCCCTTTTGTCCTGGGAATACTTTCATTCCTGCCCATCATGTTAAAGCTTGTCTCTAATTACATTAACAGATTGGCAGCCAAAGTACATGATGTGAAACTAAAAATGGACCTCCAGACAGAGTTATTAATTTAACAGGCTGGCAAGCCAAGGACAGGTAGGATTCTGCACAGAGCCTTACCAACCTCAGACAGAAATTCATTGATTTTGATAATGCATATTCCACAATGGGTAAGGAAGGCATACTTGTCAGAACCACCTAAGACAGGCTCGGTCTGGTTTATGCAATAAAAAAGGGGGTGATGTGGAGAGCTTTTGGGGCTGCCTGGCAGGAATATTACATTGGCCAAGGACAAGGAAATGGGCTGCTTAGAAGGAATCTGACATTGGATAAGGACAAGGAAATGGACTGCAGGCAGGAATCTGACATTAGGCTAAATCTTAGTCTAGAACAAAGAAGATATTTCAGGAAGGAATCTAAATCTTAGGCTAGAACAAAGAAGTAATTACAGACAGGAATCTAAATCTTAAGCTAAAACAAAGAAGTAGGCTTCAGGCATGAAAATGACTTTGAGCTAGGACAGGGAAGTAGGCTCAGATATTTTGGTCATCCTGATAAGCCCTTAGAAATAGTGATCAAGGGAGTGATCATGGGACTCTGTTTATTGTCCTGCTTGTTCTTTGACTATCTAGGTTTATTGTCTTGCTTGTTCCTTGACTATTTGCATCTATTGTATTGCTAGTTCCTCCACCTAGAACTGACCTTAATATTTGCATGTAATTTAAACAGCAGAAAAGCAAAAAAGAAGGAGGAGGGATGGGATGGGGTTAATGGGGGTGAGTGATGGAGAAAGAGGATAACATCTGAAATGTAATGTATGCATAAAATATTGAAAAAAAGATTTGTGATTTGTTAGTTTATTCAATGGTTTATAATTAATTTCAATGTCTACACTGATATGCAAATATTTGAAATTTATTCCCAGTGATTCCCTTTAAGTTATCTTTTATTCAGTTTTGACAGGTTTTCATTATCTGAATCAGAAAAGAAATAAAAAAATCAACTCATGAACTCACAGCAGCTGTGGCTGCCTGCATAGGACCTGCACCAGACCAGTCCAGTCAACATTTTATCATGCGATTGGAAGGAGTTCATAAGTCCATGCCTCTAACTGAAGAGATAGGGACAGTTGAAGGTTTCTGGTAGAGGAAGAGTCAGTTTTCTTTGACAGTGTGACTTCTGGAATGTAGGCCATATTCTACTGGATAGCCCAAACCTGGAAGTATATGAACATCAGAAAATGGAGCTGATAGAATATTAAACAAAACAAAGTAAAGCAAAACAAACGGAGAGGATACAAAGTTGGGTGTCAAAGGGATGGGAAAGTTCTAGGAGTTAAGTGAAGGTATTTGGGTTAAATATGCCCTATACAAGAAGTATATGCATAGCACAAATCAAATCCAAAGGGCTAAAATTTAAAGATTTTTTTATATTTTCTTTATTTATATTTCAAATGTTATCCCCTTTCCCAGTGCCCCCCCCGAAATCCCCTATCTGATCCCTCCTCCTCTGCTTCTATGAGGTTGTCCCCCCACCCACTCACCCACTCCTGCCTCCCCACCCTCACATTCCCCTATACTGGGTAGAATCTTCACAGGAACAAGGGCCTCTCTTCCCATTGATCCTGGACAAAGCCATCCTCTGCTACTTATGCAGCTAGAGCCGTGGGTCACTCCATGTGTACTCTTTTGTTAGTGGCTTATTCTCTGGGAGATCTGAGGGGCCTGGTTGGTCAATGTTATTGTTCTTCCTATAGGATTGCAAACCCTTTAAGCTGCTTCAGTCCTTTCTCTAACTCCTCCATTGGGGACCCCATGCTCAGTCAAAGGTTGGATGTAACCATCTGCCTCTGTATGTCAAGCTCTGGCAGAGCCTCTCAGGAGACAGCTATATTAGGCTTCTGACAGCATGTACTTCTTGGCATCCACAATAGTGTCTGGGTTTGGTGACTGCATATGGGATGGATCCCCAGGTGGGGCAGTCTTTGGATGGTCTTTCCTTGAGTCTCAGCTCCACATATTGTGTCTGTATTTGCTCCCGTGAGTATTTTGTTCCCCTTTCTAAGAAGGATCCCCACTTTGGTCTTCCTTCTTCATGAGCTTCATGTGGTCTGTGAGTTGTATCTTGGGTATTGTGAGCTTTTGGGATAATATGCACTTATCAGTGAGCACATACCATGTGTGTTCTTTTGTGACTGGGTTGTCTGACTCAGGATGGTATTTTCTAGTTTCATCCATTTGCCTAAGAATTTCAGGAATTCATTGTTTTTAATAGCTGAGTAGTACTCCATTGTGTAAGTGTACCACATTTTCTGTATTTATTTCTCCATGGAAGGATATCTGGGTTCTTTCCAGCTTCTGGCTATTATAAATAAGGCTGCTATGAACATAGTGGATCATGTGTCCTTGTTATATGTTGGATCATCTTTTGGATATATGCCTAGGAGTGGTATAATTGGGTCCTTAGGGCCTTAGTATTCTATGTCCAATTTTCTGAGGAACTGCCAGACTGATTTCCAGAGTAGTTGTACCAGCTTGCAATCCCACCAACAATGGAGGAGTGTTCCTCTCTCTCCACTTCCTTTCCAGCCTCTGTTGTTAGAGTTTTTGATCTTAGCAATTTTGACTGGTGTGAGGTGGAATCTCAGGGTTGTTTTGATTTGCATTTCCATGATGACTAAGTATGTTGAACATTTATTTAGGTGCTTTTCAGCCATTTAATATTTCTCAGTTGAGAATTCTTTGTTTAGATCTGTACTCATTTTTATAGGGTTATTTGTTTCTCTGGAATCTAACTTCTTGAGTTCTTTCTATATATATTGGATATTTGCCCTCTATCAGATGTAGGATTGGTAAGGATCTTTTCCCAATCTGATGGTTGACATATTGTCCTACTGACAGTATTGTCTTACAGAATCTTTGCAATTTTATGAGGTACTAGACAAGGGTACCCACTCTCTAATACTTGAAGTTCTAGCTAGAGTAATTAGATAACAAAAGGAGGTCAAAGGGATACAAATTAGAATGGAAGAAGTAAAAATATCACTATTTGTAGATGATATGATAGTATACCTAAGTTTAAGTGACCCCAAAACTTCCACCAGAGAACTCCTAAACCTGATAAACAACTTCAGCAAAGTGGCTGGATATAAAATTAACTCAAAAAAATCTGTAGTCTTCCTCTACTCAAAGGATAAACAGGCTGAGAAGTTCTCAAGTTCACTTGGAATAACAAAAACAAAAAACAAAACAGAATAGCAAAAACTATCTCAACAATAAAAGAACTTCTGAGGGAATCACCATCCCTGACCTCAAGCTCTACTACAGAGCAATAGTGATAAAAAACTGCATGGTACAGAGTCAGGCAGGTAGATCAATGAAATAGAATTGAAGACCCAGAAATGAACCCACATACCTATGGTCACTTGATCTTTGACAAAGGAGCTAAAACCATCCAGTGGAGAAAAGAGAGCATCTTCAACAAATGGTATTGGTTCAACTGGAGGACAACATGTAGAATACAAATCAATCCATTCTTATCTCTTTGTACAGAGCTCAAGTCCAAGTGGATCATGGACCTCCACATAAAACCAGATACACTGAAACTAATTGAGGAGAAAGAATGTTTTTCAGTTTAAAATGTAACTTTCATGTGGTCCAGGAATTCAACTTGTGAGCCTACCAGAAGGATCTTGAAAAGACAGTAGCACTACATATACAAGTTCACAGCAACATTATTCACAATAGTCAAGATGTGAAAATATTCTAAATGTTTCTAAAAGAGTGAATAAATAAAGAAAATGTTATATGTATGTGCAATAAAACAGATGGGAAGAAGTAGGAAATAACTGACACTCCACAAGTACATAGTCCTGATTATACATGATGAATCTATTCTAAACACCTGCGAACACCATTCTGCCTTAGTAAACACTGCTCTGTTGGGTACTTAGAGGTGTGTCAAGTATACAAACTATAATAAAGATTGAAGAATCCTTAATCTGAGAGAGTGAACATACCAGATTGATTAACTACAAGTGAATAGTTTCCTGTCTGCTTACTTTTCAACTCTATCTATCTATCTCTCTATCTCTCTATCTCTATCTCTATCTCTATCTTCATCTCTCCCAGTGTGTGTATTTTTAAGAATGTTACTATAGCTTTCTATTACTTAATTCTCCAAAATATTTATTAATCTTCTAGCATTTATGGAGCAAATTGATAGGCAATAGATGAGATTTTTTAAAAAGTAAATACTTTAAAACTATTTTTATTTCAAATGGTATTTAGATAATATCACTTGATATACATAAATAAAAAATGATATCTATATATAAATATTTCCAGTATAAGACCAAATAGTGGAATTACTAAAAAAAAAAAAAAATGGCCTAATGTTAATAATGACTTTAAGCACTTGCTGTTCACAAAACACTCAACTAAATATATTTAACATGCGTTTAGTATTTACTACAATCCTGTTTCACGTATGAGGAACAATAGGTTTAGAATGTTGAATGTATTATGAAGTTTACACATTGATAAAAGGGTACCATAATAGTAATACACCTGACTCCAAAACATTTACACTTCATCACCATGGCATTCAGAGGGTAGGAACACCCCACCTTAGATAGAAGACATTCCATGAAGCAGATGGCAGATGAGATTGACTTTTAAGGCCTCAGGGGGAGAGGATGCAACTAACCCTGCAAAGACTTGATGCACCATGGGAGGATGATACCCAGGGAGTTCCACCCTCTCAAAGGAGAAGGGGAGGGGAGATGAAGGGAGACACCCTGTGAGGAAAGGGCAGCAATTGAGATGAAAATTAATTAATTAATTAATTAATTAAAATAAGAATCATTCAAGCCCCTGCACCTAGAGGCATTGCTGCTGTGTCACATGTGTGTCAGTAGGTAGTAGAGAGGAGAGAAGCTATGTCTGCATTCATTGTTCTGACTTATGAACATCTGAATGATTAGTAGCCTAACATTCTCTGAAAAAAGTGAACTTGAGCCAATCACTGGTCTAGTGCTACATAGGCCAGGAAAGACTTCCAGACCACAGGCAAGAGTAAGCCAGAGACAGACAACCCTCACATGAGGCCTTGTGGAGGAGTAAGCCTGAAACTACCACCAGATTGACACCATGGGTTCCAGACAGGGAGCTAGCCTAAGATGATCACCATGGTGCTGGGAAAGCCTGGGAGGGAGAGGTGTGGGCAGACTATGCCCAGTGCCGTAATGCATGAGCTGAACATAGCACTCCTGAGACCACTGTCGAGACAACTCCAGACACTCTGACATCCTGGGTGCCACTAAGTGGAGTAAAAAAAGAAATGGAAGAGAAAGAGAAGGAGAGAGAAAGAGGGGGAGAGAGAGAGAGAGAGAGAGAGAGAGAGAGAGAGAGAGAGAGAGAGAGAATATGAAGATAGGCAGAACTGGAGACTTGAGCATAGTGAGAAAGAGCCTGATGTGAGTAGATAGTGATGTCACTTAAAACTACATCTGGGTCCATGGCCCTGTAGCAACAGGGGTCAGTTACCGCCAAAGGCCAGGCTAATGTTCCTGGTCTGGGCTGCAGTTTGGGATACATGTTGATGTCTGTGGCCTATGTAAGATGCCTTTGATGTCATGAGAGAAGGAGAACTGGCCCTGCCCTTAGCCAGATGCAGTATTCAGGAGACTGGGCCTTGCACATTGTGGGAGTTGTGGGTGAGCTTGACGTAAGGATATAAGTGTGGGAAAGCTGGCCCTGCCATTTGTCTCCCATGCAATGACATGAACAAGGGAGAGACACCCCCCTCCCCCCTCCCCCCTTGCCATCTGCAGCAGGTAGGAGACGTGGCCCTGGGGTCATGAGAACAGAAGAACTGGCCCTGCCCTTCAGCTCCAGCACTTGGGAGAGCAGGCACTGTAGCTCTGCACCTCACCTGGGAAGCTCAGGACAGCTGAACTTGGTGCCAGGGGTACAACCAGCTGGCTATACCACTTGTCTGCTGTGTGATGACATGGGCAAAACAGAGATGGCCCTGCCCCTTGCCACCTATGAAAGCAGGAGGGCTAGCACAAAGATCATCAGAGCTGTTCCTGCCCCACATCTACTTCAGCACTTGGGAGAGTGGGCCCTGCACACCCTCTGGAAAGCATAGTAGAGCTGTCTCTGGATGCAGGGGTTGCAAGTGAGTTTGGCCCCAAGGGTGTGAAAGTAGGAAAGCCAGTGGGCTAAACAGTTCAGATATCTGTCTCAGGCCCAGGTTGAGGACTTTGAATTGGTAAACCCCAACATCTACCCCATTAATGAACTCTAGAATACGTGAAGGGGCCAGTCCTACAGATCTAAAACTACAGTATTTCCATGACACAGGGTAACAACAGGATAGCTGAGAGGAGTCCCAGTGAGGTTTCAGTTTTGATAGAGTAGCAAAAACCAGAAAGCCTCATACCGGATCAATGAGTCACTACAATGAACATTTGCAAGCAAAGAGGTGTGGACAAAAGGGTACACAGTGGGACACACTGTGACATACTACAGGTTCCATAATGTGATTTTTTTTTCTTTCTGGGAGGAGATTGCAAGGGTGGAGGATGGGTATGAAGGGGAGGGGAGATCAGTGGGGTTGGGATATATGATGTCAAATTCACAAAGAACCAATAAAAAGTATTTTAAAAAATAAAATAAAAGGACCATTCAAGCTTTGAAATCAGAGACTTGTCTAAAAACTATTTTAGTTATAAGAAAAGTGAGTCAAAGTGTTTAAAAAGAAAGCCATGAGGTGGATAAGAGGGTCCACAAGAAAGGAGAAAAACCAATAGATTGAGAGAAATAGCATGAGAGGGGGAGAAATTAAATGGTTATAGATCTCGGTTTATTCAGTCTGGTATTTGACTTAAAGAGCAAAGTATAACCTAAGCAGAACTTCAATTCTGTACACACTTCCCTCAAATATACAGCCAAATGACATTAATTAGGATCTGACCTGGTTTGAGGATTCAAATAAGGAATGGCAATTGCTAAATCTGGAAATAAACATCCATTCAAACGGGCTGGAAAGTGGAATGAAGAACAAGGGATGAAGTTCTGGCTGGAAAAAGGAAAGAAAATGGGAATGATCATGGAGAGAGTAACCGCAATGAAATGAAGAGCATTTTAAGATAAGCTACTTGTAGTAAATAGAATACTAAGTAGAGTTAAGAAATACTTTACTGGAGTTAAGAAATTTGTTTTGGAAACCTGGGAGAAAGGGCAAGTGTACAGTATTCTAACTGTAACCATAGCCATTTACTTATAAGGGAGATGGAAATCAATGCATGGAACCTAGCAAGTAGTAGCCTTGTCAGGCATTGGTGGGAGTCCTTGGTCCCATGAAGGCTGGATGTCCCAGTGTGAGGGAATTCGAGGGTGGGGAGTGGGGAGGGGGTGGATTGGTGAGGGCACATCCTCATAGAAGCAGTAGGAGGGGAACAGGATAAGGGGTTTTTGGGGGTGGGATAGAAAAAGGGGATAATATCTGAAATGTAATAAAATATCCAATAAAACAGCAACAACAAAAAAGTAAAACCTAAATGCTGCATGGTGTGTAGTAGGCATTCAAAAAGTGGTGTTGAGTGCATGTGTACATAAATAAATGTGGAAGCAGTATCATTGTACGATATAGATATTGAATTTTGATTAAATGGATGGGGGCATATGAGAGAAAAAGATCTTATATTGAAGTTCATGAAGACCTTGATCATGGCTCAGAAGCTTCTGGCAGATCACAAGAACCTCAACTGGAGAAGTTTCCGGAAAGTGGACTGAGGTCATCTTGACATAACCAGTCCAAACTCTCATCCTATTCATAACTTCACAACTGCATAAACAACCCTCTTCCAGTAACAAAGTCTGGATCACAGGGGTTAGACCTCTGTCAGCCATTCTGTCTAAGAAATCACTGCCATTTGTTTCCTAGTCCAGGACCTCATCATTTCTGTTTCTACAGTAACTCTGATTGCAAACATCAAGATGCAAGACAGGAAAATCACTCACGCAACACTGGTACCTTCCATTCCCTGCTGCAACTAAAAATGCATATAAAACCTGAATTTCCTGAGGTTTAGGAATGTGAATCTCTAGAGTAATCTCTAAGTAAGATAACATAAAGTTATCACTACATAACACACACACACACACATATGTATATATGTATACATGTGTACATACACATGGAATAAGTGTGTATACTTAGATTATGTCTACCTACTACTAACTCCCTCCAGCTCCTCTCAGACTGACTTCACCACATCCCCTCCCAACTTCCTGCCTTCTTAAATTAAATTTTTTAATAGTCCAATGAGTCCAAATAGTGCTAACCATCTGCACATAGATGTATGGGCCATCCACTGATACATGGGTAAAACCCACCAGACACGGCACTCATACAAAACAACTGACTCTCCCCTGACCCCCTGAAGGCATAAAAT